GGGTGTAACCGACCGGAGGGTGGTAGCCGCAACTGCGGCGGGAAGGGCTAGTGGGGAAGGCTCATTTGTGAGGCAGTGCTAGCGGGCACATAGGCTGGAGGGTAGTCACTGGGCTTTCGGTACTGGACGTGGGGTTGGGTTGGGGTTGGGGTGGGCTGGGGGAGCAGGGGAGGGGTTTGGGAGGGGTATGGGCTGTAGGAGGTCTCACCCATTGCGACGGTGTCCGCGGTGACGGGGCGACAATTATGGAGCAGAAACTATGGATGTTGCTTAACATTTTGACCGGAAAAAGTTTTCGAAAAAGTTTTCAACGACACAGTGACACGTTTCACAGGGATTGTGACATTTGAAAGTGACATGAAAAATGATAGTGACACGAAAAAACTATAGTGACATGAAAAATGTGGTCGGCGGGGGCGTTAATGGCGGTGTACATTTCGCCGGAAAAAGGTTGCTGGATTTTTTTTTGATGATTATAGTGACCTTCAAAAGTGACATAAAAATCTAATAGTGACATAAAATAGTGACATAAAAATCTGGCAGTGACATAAAAATCTGACAGTGACATCATGTTTTTCCACATGTGTGACCTTCTTAGTCACATTTTTGTCCTTTTATAAAATAGTCACTTTTTTGGAAATTAGTTTCTAATGTATATGGGGTTCTACTGTATGTAGGTGTGTTTGGAAATTAGAATTAGTGAGTTGCCTGCCTATTAGCCTATAGAGTTCGTATAAAAACTCGGTCAAGAGTCTTATTTGCCCTTTCCTGACAAACTCGGTCAAGCAACGGGCTAACTACGAGACAACTCAACGTATTCTATCTTAGCTTTTCCTCTTACATTGACTCGGTCAATATTGTATAAAAACGTACAGACATACACATTAACTCATGATTGAACCCCCTCCCCTGAGTATTGTATAATAAACTCTCGTAATTAGTCCCCTTAAATGTAGAATTAAGTACTCAAAGATTACTCTAACAATTGTCCACTTTTGAGAAGTTGAGGCGTAAGAGTGCACATGTCAAGCTGTTAAGCAACAACTTTTCAAAATTAAGTACTTCACATCCTTTATTTTTGGTATGTCCCGGTGTCATCCGTCTGTTGAACATTTCTGTCACCTTCTTTTCTAATAGCTCCTATCGAATCGTCTTCTTGATTGAAGAGATGAAGAATAAAGGCTGAGATCTTATCTCCCTTCCTCCAATGGAATCTCATCTATGCTAATGTTAGCCCTTCAATTTGCAAGGGCGACTTGACCCTTGTTGGTCGGATGACGAGGCTGACTCCATGCATGTGATTGATACCTTCAAAAAACTATGAACACGATTTTGTTTACATTTTAATTAAATTAAATTATCAAAGACGTGGATGACTCCATGGTGAGTTTCCATCATTTCTATTGGAGTCAACGAATCACTATTTTTTGGTCTCAGGATATGATGGAATAAAGTAACATTGTCTCACTAAACTGTCTATGTTTATTTGTTGTGAAACATCACTCAGTCCATGCAATTTCCATATTGTTGGGTCATTCAAAAACAATCTCTATGTGCTTTAGTACAAGAGTAAGGATGCGTGCATCTGACCCTCTCTTACCCCACCGTACGTGGGAGCCTTTGTGGTAATGGGATAATACCGTTGTTGTTATTATTATATCAACATGAATGTTTAAGGTTCATGTTGATATTATTTGTGTCGTCTCCTTCTATTTTTGGAGTTTTACGTTGTTTTATGTTATGCTTTTGAACATATCCTTTTATGATGTTTTTTTCCTGTATAATTTTGGTGGAAAGGTTGCATAGAATTGGTGGTGTTTACACTCATTTTTAGAAGACATGAAAACCCCACTTTTTCCCATACAATTATGTAAGCTATGAAATTTTGTTTTGACGTTTATGTAAGGTTTTGTTCAACGTGTTTCCTAACATCACCATCGTCCATTGTTTGAATGTTTCTATGCAAAGATAATTTGTTAAGGCGGGTTATTGGTTACAAGCCAACGGCCCTTTAACGCTTAAGTTGGTGATCGTTTATATGTAAAGCAAAGTAGTAAATTAGAAATGAAACAAGTTTAGATGTACCACATTCTAGCTTTTCTAGAACTTGTCTGTGGTCTTATGTCTCTAAGCAATATTCCCCTGTCTGACGATTTCAATGATCTTGTATGGTTCTTCCTGTCTTGGAAGTGACGACTCATTCCTCAGGTCTCGTATATGGTTTCTCAAACTTGTAGTCTTGCCTCTTAGAAGAGACTGGCTTCACGTAACCCCTTTTTATTCGGCCTATCTGTGCCAGAATCATAAGTCTTCCTCTAGATGGATGAAGGCTAAAGTCTTTGTTTTGACATCTCCGAAAAACCAATATGAGCATATCGCAGTTTGCGGAACAACTCTAAGTCTTCGTACAAACCTCTTCTGAATGCCTCAATGGCGATAGATGTCACGCCCCGGACCTAGCCGGACACGTCAACAACCCGCCGTACAGTACGAATAGTCAACCGCAGTCCAACTCATCCACACTATACAAGGCGTCTTGAATACCATTCACACGTAGTACATCCATAAACAAACATAATGTAAAACATTTATTTAAAGCAGCGGAAACATTTAATATAAGAGTTTATGCCACACTTTGGCAAACATGGGCATACAAGTCCCCAAATAATTATTTCAAAAATAATATCCATGAACATTGTTATAATTGTTTTGAAACAGAAACGGAGGAAGCACGAACCGCGTCTCCCCTCCTAGTATCACCCCGAAGCCACAGAAAATGGTAGCAAGCTCAGCTCCTACTTGAAACTGTGAGGTGGCCTCCCCCGTGAAGGGGAGGTCAGTACTTGGAAACATTTGACAAGTACAATGACAACTATACTAAGTATAGTCAATGTTTCAATTTCAGAGACCCTCCATCTAGGGTGATATTATATTATAGGCCATAACCCTCGGTTACCCCTCTATAAAATAACGTACTTACTTTATATAAAGTCAAGTAGTCGGCCTGTGGGCACATATTCATTTAGAATTCACCATTTTAATTCCCCGTGACTACTAGTCACGCTAACCCCATAGGGTTCCCTCGAGTCCCGATTGTATAGCAAGGGCTCGGCCCGACTACATTTCTATACAAACCTTCAACTCAATTTAACACATTAAAATTTGTATGGCAAGGGCTCGGCCCAACTACGTTTCCATACTAACCACAACTTTGTGGCCAAGGCTCGGCCCAACTACGTTTCCACGAAGAGCACAAATACATGGCAAGGGCTCGGCCCAACTACGTTTCCATGCTAATCACATTACATGGCAAGGGCTCGGCCCAACTACATTTCCATGCAATCCTAGAGTCCGACTCTAATTCATTTTCGTAGTCCAATTCTCAAGAAAATCCTATGCCTAGAATCAACCCACTTGGGTAGCCTTTAGGCTTACCCCTAACACACCTTAGTGTTCATTCAATTCAACCTTAAAGTATCTCTTAAGACTACTTAAGGCAAATCTATTCACAATCCTATCCCTTAGGATTAATTCCATTATATTATTCTCCCGACTAGTATTTTAATACTAGTAGGTTTGTCTTAGAACATATCAAGTTCTTAATTCAAATTGACATTTCTTTTCAATTGATTTTCCAACCCAACTATAATTTGATCCCAATATCAAAAATATCACTTTTATCCATTCATGAATTTCATACATGATGTAAAAGTATATTTTATCACAATATTTACATAGTTAATTCCATTATCATGTCATTCCTTCCATGTCACATAATCATACATAATTTATTCTAAATTTGTATATCATGCTTCATTTACTCATATCAATAGTATTTTCATTAAGCATTATTACTCATTAATAATCCATGAAAATCACTTTTAATACCTTAGGAAATCTTATGAAATTAACTCACTAATTATAAGCAATATAGTCAGTCATCCTCACCTTATGATGTGCTCAACTAGATGCCTTTGCGAAGCCCTTCGATCAATCCCCGTTCTAGGCCGATTGAATCACTAAAACTGAACTGTTGGGCGAAAGCCGGGCGACGTTCGTCCTCCTGCAACACGAACAGCTTCCTATATGTGGCGGTTTCCGGTGATTTCGACTCCTATCGATTCGCCAACTCTTCTAAGTTAATTACCACCATTATATATCAACATTCTACACTTTTTAAGCGTGTAGAACTTCATGTTTACTCCTCCATATGATTTCTTGAAAATCATACAACATAAACTAGTTAATTCATACTAGTTGGATTCTTACCTCAACTTAGCTCCTTTTGTGTTGGGTTTTCCTCCCTCTTGCCTTTCTCGTACCCTGGACCTTGTGAGATCTCTTCCAAGAGGTTATCCTATCTTGATATGGCTGAATGGTGCAAAGTGAATAGGGGAGAAGTATCCCTATTCAATCAAGACTTATTGAGGCCAAAATGAGACCCAATGGGGTGTGCATTTGTCTTGCCATCCCCCCCTCCCATGAGTTCGCACACACTCATCACTTCATGTCCCTTCCAGCTTTCCTTTAGTCAACTAGGGCACATGAAGACGTTGGGTGGCCCCCACTTATGTGGGAGGTCATCCCATTATGTCCCGGTGTGTACAATCGGCCCCGAAAGTTGTATTTCTCGTCCCGTTTTAATTATATTTTATTTTATCGGACCAAATAAAATGTATCACGCGTTCCTAATAATTATGGGCCTTAAGAATAGATGTACATTCCCCAAAATAAAATTAGGAGTCTCCGAAACTCACTTCGGGCTGTTATCCGCTAAATTACCAATACCAGTAATTGGGCCCCGTTTGACCAACCGGTCAACTCCATACCTTTCTTATGGTCCAAATAAAATATCCACCACCATATAGGTGTCATCTAGACCAAGATGAATATAATATGTGGTTCTGGAATTATCGGGCGGTCTCTGTTCCCGTTGTGGGCCCCACATGTTATTTACTATTCACGTAAAAGAAATAATAAAATTCAACAATTACGTAAATTCATAAATCATCCTTCAAGGTTTACTACATAATTTACTAAAAGTAAACATGCTTGGGGATGGTGTCACAATAGAAATGTCACATCTCGGGATCGATACCTTTTCTTTGTAAAATATGAGTAAATAATCCATAAGGGGTTCGCCACGTATTTGTGTTACTTGATAGAGATCACTAGTGTGTCTTTCCAATATCCTACTACTAGTGAATTGCAGGTTAAAGAGTTTAATGAGTTCAACAAATGAGTCAATGTTGCCATTCGCTAGATTCACAAACCAAGTTAGCGAAAGACTCATCAATGTTGTGTGAATCCTCGACACATGCATGACTCTCTATAAGACATGTACTCCGGGATATGAGGTTATGTCAAAGGGATTTATAATTGGCATGACGAACTTCTTTGGTAACTCCACGTAGTTGATTGAGTTGCTGAAAAGTGATTTGACGCAACATGTTTGGGATGCCATTTCCAATGATGGGGAACTCCACGAATTTCATTGATCTTTTATTGCATTCGTTGTAGTTGTGCGAAGATGTTCAAGAAGGTGTTTGTCATGGGATTCGTCGGGTGACAAACAATTGACATCCTGGGACCAACTATTTAAGTGGATCTGATCTCCCCTCAAACAATCGGTCTTACCAGCTCTCTGTTTGGCCTCCTAAACAGCCGCACATTGCATAAATAAGTGAGTTGTTGTTTCATTCTCCACATTAAAGATTGGATAAATTCCCAAAACATGTGCATGTCTAACTCTCATAACATTACCTGTAGGTAGAAACCGTTCGCAAGCTGCCAAAAAAATATTCACTTTCGTTGGGATTCGAAACTTCCAAACCATTATCCACCCAATCCAGTTTCCTCAAATCCACCCACGAACCTTCTATAGCAGCTTTGGACCAAAAAAAAATTCTTTCGCCTCATCGTTTTAGCGATATCCATCTCCAACCTGTTTTAAACTTAATGGTATGTTCTAAATTGCAAGATCTTCCTCCTCAAAAAACAAACCATTAATTCGTTGGCCATTCCCATTTTTTCCATCTTCGAAAAGAAAAGATGCAACATTCATGTTTAGAATACCTTCCGGACGGGCCGAATGTACTCTACCCATACCCTTCCTCGGAAGCCAAGCATCCCTCCACACTGATATTTCCTTATCGATCGTTTCCAACCCGACATCGGGAACCTACTACAACAACTCATTGGGCCGCTAAGATGCTGCGCCAAACGAAGGAAATATTATTTCATACGTTAGCTTCAACAAAGCTACTCATAGGTTTTACTTCATGAAGTTATTATGAAGTAAAACCTCTGTGTATAAATAAACAATGACATATAAGAAGTATAATATTAAAAAAGATGATTTGACAAAAGTTGCACTTCTTATATATAGTGAATATATTACTAACTTTTAATTACTCTAATTATGTCTAATTTTAGTTCCTTTGATACATTTTTGTCCATGAGTTTAATTGAAGTAATATTTTAGGGAAATTGTCATATCTAAATCATTATTATATACATTTATTCGTACTCCTCTGTCACTTATAACTTAGTCAAATTTAACTGCCATGTGAACTAACTAATAAGATAAAAATGTGGGGTTAAAGTTTATTCAGATAAGAGAGAAGTAATAAGAATCACAATTTAATTAATTAATTAATTAAAAAGATAAATCGTTAAGTTTTGGGACAAACAAAGAGAGTTGACTAGGATTATAAGGGCGGAGAGGCCACTATAATAAATTCTTTGAAAAACAAATAACTCAAAATTTATGATTCAAAAGTGTAGATCATAACATTTGTCTCGAAATGAACAACTAGATATAATTCTTCTTACATAAAATCACAGGTATTCAAACCTTCTACATGCAAAAAAAAAACAAAAAAAAACATTTAAGGGGTTAACTATCCACCTTGACCACCCGTAGAATCGATTTTAACTACATATATATACATATACATAAATAATGTAGAAAGACATGTGGAGTGAAGAGGAAGATGAGATTCTGATCAAAGCTCACCTAGAAGTTGGTAACAAGTGGGCGGAAATAGCAAAACGCCTTCCCGGAAGAACGGAGAACTCTATAAAGAACCACTGGAATGCAACAAAGAGACGCCAATTCTCCCGCCGGAAATGCCGCACCAAATGGCCCAGGCCCAGTTCCCTCTTGCAGGTAATAATAATTACTCATATAATCATATGTAATATGGATCGATTTTTTATTCAAATGAGAAGTAGTATAGGTCTTATAATAAAAATGTGAACTAATGGGACAATTTGATAGCTCATCTTTCACACACAAAATGTTTCTATTTTTATAAATTTTCGTAGATTCCATTCATGAAAGGTGCATCATTATATGTAATACGATATTGTTGTACATGTCAAATGCAACATTAAGTAAAACGGAAAAATGACGTAAGAAATACTCCCTTAAACTGAACATAAGTAATCAAAATTATTAGTATTTCGTGTGATGAAGAGAGTAATAATGATATAATTAGGCTGAATTGATAGAAATATAAAACTTCATCTAATAGAGTATAATTAATCTCCATTAGTCAATTACTCCCTAATGATATTATGATGGTCTTGCTATTCTAGTAGACCCCTTTGTAATGATATCCACGTTGTAACTTTTTGTATTCCGTATATGTTTTGAGTTTTTTTTGAAAGGAAAAGATGCCACTTCTATTAATATTTAAAACATCGTTCATCAGCTGGCAATTAATACAATTTGGACAATAAGTATAAAAATGACACCCGTCCGCATTGCTCAAGGTGACCCTAGAAAGCTTGTGAGCTACTCTGTCGGCGGACCTCCGACAAAACTTGACTTCAATATCCGCCTTATAAGCAAAATGTGTCTAATATCTTCAATAACAACATCAAGGTAAGAATTACCATCATCACGCAAAATCCTTGAAATAACAACAGATGAATCCGATCCAACCTTTACCCGACTCCAAAATTGTTGTCGGACCCAATGTAGGACCGCTCTGAGTCGTAGAGCTTCCGTCATGGTAGCATTCCAATCCACTTGAGATGTGTAGTTGTCTCCCTCAATAATGTTGCCTGAATGATCTCGAGCTACCTGGCCCCAAGCTCTCGTTCCTCGTCTGTTGTCCAGTGCAACATCTACATTGACTTTTATCTATCCCCTGATCGGTTTCTGCCAAGCCCCGTCTTGGATACCTGAAGCACTCTACTTCCTGCTATCCTCTCGTGCTTTCCGCCATCCCTGGAGAACTGTGTCACTAGATATCAACACTTGTGACTCGTTGAACCTCCTACCTTTCCGATCTGCACCATTTCGGGCTTTCTAGATACTCCACAGGGTGAAAATAAAAATGAAAAACTCGCCATCATGCAAATGATCAAGAAAATTCTTAATTGAGTCAGTTGAGTCATTGCCTTGCCTCTACAAAACCGCTCTCTGATTAGCCCAAACTACCAAAGAGAAGTCGCGGCTAGAAAATATGTGCATTTTCGTCTCCTCATCCCCACATAAACAGAACAATGGATTGATCTTCACCCTTCTCCTCCTCAAGTTAGTTGTTGTGGGAAAATATTTGTCCATAAGCAGGTAGAAAAAGAATTAAATCTTCAATGGGATAAAAAAATCCACACATGGGTCCAAAGGAGCTAACTATCTTCTCATATCTCACCCTTGCAATTTTATACCCACTCTTTACTATGTAATTTCCATTGGAATCTAGCCACCAATAAAATCCACTGGACCCCACCACGAACAGAGTGGAATAGACAATATGTTTCCCATTGCCTCCTGTCGTCTGAGAAGGGCATTCAATCCCTCCGCCGCAAGGATAAGCAAGTAAGGGGACAAAGGCCTCCCGGTCTCATCACTCTGGAAAGCGTAATCGGCCTAATAAAATTTATGTCAAAAGGATATAATATTCCACACTCGCAAGTCGCAACACACTCGTTGATAAGATTAATCCATCTCTAGTCAAAATGCATTAATTCTAGCATCGTTTCAAGGTATGGCCATTCCACTCTATCACAAGCCTTACTCATATCTAGTTTAAGTGCCACATACCCTTCTTTCATTGTCATCTTTTTTTAAAATGAAGAGATTCATAAACCGCCATAATATTATCCGTGATTAACCTGCCCAGGACAGAAGTACTCTAATTTTTTATATATAAGACCTTTTAGGAAAACCTTCATGCGATCAGCAAGGACTTTTGAAAAAAATGATAAACAACATTGCACAGGACAATAGATATATATCATGTCTCCAAGGGACTCTGGTTTTTCCTTTTTAGGAATCAAAATTAAATTAGTATGATTTACCTCCCCTGGGATAACTCCCGTTGAGAACACCTGTTGACCGAAAGGAGCTATGTCATCGCCCAAAATATCCCAATAGTGCTGGTAGAATTCCTGGTTCAGACCGTCTGGGCGTGGTGCTTTATCGGGATGCATGGCAAACACAACTCTCTTGACTTCTAAAGGACGGATTGGTCACGCAAGGGCACTTTTTGTTCCTGGATCAATCTTGTGATCCCTCCCATATTGGAGCGACTCATAATATTAACATTTCATGATGCAAAAAGTTCCCTAAAATGGTCCCTAATAGCAATGTCCTTCATGTAGTTCCTTTTTCTGCGTTTTTTAACTGCATTATGAAAGAACTTTGTATTTTTGTCTCCTTCTTTCAACCGGAAATCCTTCGCCCCTTTTTGCCATAATTTATTCTGTTTAGAGTAAATAAATTTACAACGCTTTTGTCTAGTGGAATTCTCCCGTGACACAATTGTTTCCCTCACTGTGAAGATGTTTTATGCGGGTTTTGCAGATGTCAATTCTAGCCTGAAACCCCACAGGTCTATTGTTACTCCACATGCAAGCCTCCAACCTTTGCCAAAGCGATAGCTCTTCTGAGTTAGACCAGGATTGGTGGATTAAATCCCTACATTCTTCCTCCTGCAGCCAAATATTTTCAAATTTAAATGTAGCTCTAAACCCTACTCACTTCTCCTTTTCCATCTTCAGGGGGATCATGAGGTGGTCACTAGACGGGTTATCCATGGATGTGGCTCTGAACCCCCCCCCCCCCCCCCCCCCACATAGTTGTATCCAATCTTCATTGGCTAGTGGTCTGTGTAGTTTTTCTTCAATCCAATCAATATTGCGCAGACCGCAACTCCAAATTGTCTCTCTAAATCCCCTCATCAGCCAAGGTGGTTGAGGTGTTCTTCCTTTCCACTCATGCCAAAACATTAGATTATTGACATATTCCCGAAGGAGCCATGTTTTGTCACTTTGCTATGCAAGCGATCTCAGAAGTGTCAATGACTCCCTTTGTATATGTCTCTCCGGGTACCCATAGAATCCAGTAAAGCGCCACCGAGGTTCATTAGCTTTAATTTTAACTTCACAATAAAAGCTCATACCCGAATTTACAACAATTATCCCCACCGACTGACCCCAAAATAAAAACATATGCCACCACTCAAACTTACACGGTCAACAACAAAACAATTGGTAACCAAAGTTGTTGTCTCACACATTCACATCAACTATCGCCCGACATCGTTTCAATTAGGAAAATCATCGCGGTCTCTTGGATTGAACTAGGTCAAGCCAACCACGCTCATCTTCTAGTACCTGGATAGCAAAAACACGCCGAAAGTACCCTCCTACGTCTCACAACCTTGGGGTAAAAGTGCCCCTCCCGAACAGAACAAAAAACGATCAAATCGTACCGACTGCAAAAATCCACTATTAAGCCGGTAAAATCGGAAGAAAAGAGACCAGTTTGATAGCAAAAACCTACCAGAAAACAAGAGAAGTCGCCATGTAAGCCTCTCTCTAAACTTTGGGGAAAAATCAGTCGCACGCTTCTTGCTTCGCACAAGTCTCGATCCACACTCGTCGACCTAACCACCTCCAACCCAGTGAGACGCCTGGAAAAAAGAGCGTCGTCGTACGATTCCAATCCTAGACCAATGCTACCCACCACCACAAATATATTCCTCGACTTTTAGAACTTTCAATGAAACCTTAAAATATTATGGAGTATTAAAATAAAAGGAAACGTACAGAAAAGGTACCTAAGGTACCTGTGGTTGGGCCCGTTTTCATATTGGGTCATGTGTTTCATTTTTTATCAAAGTGGTTCATGTGTTTGAACTCCGTTATCACAAGAGTGTCATGTTGTTAAAAACGCCAGAGGAAGACGATGAATAGTAGCTCCGATTTTCAAAAGTGACCGAAAAATTAAAAGAAAAATATCAGAAGGTATGCCTCGTCAAGATGACCTCCAAACCACCTCCGTCTTTGGTTTTTTCATATCTGTTTGAATTATTCCTAAAATGAATTCGCTAATATAACTTTTCTGGTGAATTTTCCGATGATAAGGGTGGATGGAAACAAAAAAGAAAGATGGTCCAGTGGTCATCTTGTTGAGGTGCACCTTCCGATAATTTTCTTTTCATTTTTCGAGTAGTTTTGAAAATCAGAGTACTGTTCATCAGACGATTTCTAACGGCGTCAGACGCCCGGACCCTCTTGTGATAATGGAATTCAAACACATGAACCACTTTGATAAAAAAATAGCACGCATGAGCCTATCTTAAAACGGATTCAATCACATTTACCTTTTCCGTATTTTTCCCTAAAATAAAACAATCATGTTTTGTGTACACCCGGAGTTACACCCAATTTATTTACCCTTCTTTGTCCTCTTTCTTTCTTTCTTTCTTTCTTTCTTATTGTTTTCTCTCTTTTTTTCTTTCTCTTTTTTTCTTTCTCTTTTCTTTTCTCCCCCACCCCATTTTCTTCTTCTCTTTTCTCTTTTTCTATCTTTTAAAATCCATTCAAACACTATGATCACACTCTTCTTCCATCATCATCTCCACATTTACTTTGTAAATGCACCGAATAACTTGATGTTTGAGTCACCACAAAATAGTGTCGCTGGAATTTCACCACAAAAATAGTGTCACCGGAATTTTTTTCTACGTGGTATATAAATTGTATGTGTGCTGAATAATGATATATATTGTCTGTAACGAAACACGAAACTGAAAAACTAGTAACATTATATACAATTTTGCCATAGACAAAAAGTGTGCTATACAGACACTGGTTTTCTTTTAATGTCTATATATACGGACAAATATGTTGTAAAAACTCAGGGTTAGGTTGCACCAGAAGAAATGTCTATCTACACAGACAAAAGATGTATATGTGCATACTCTCTTTTTGTCTACAGAACATTAATGTCTGTACATAAACATTGGTTTTTGTGCGAAGCTTGACATTTCTGCAAAAATTAGGGCAATCAATGTGATTTACATGCAAACCGATGTCTGCTTACATACGCAGACATTAGTTGTATGTGTGTGACATTTTTGTTTGTGTACACAGATAACTTAACCCTAATATTAGTTGTACAGACACTTTTTTGTCTGTACGGGTAACTAATGTCTCTGTGCACACATTGGTTTCAGTGTTTTTCTGACATTTATGCAAAAAATATGACAGTCAATGTCATTTACACGTAAATCAATGTCTATGTACATAGACATTAGTTGTCTGTATAGAAAAAAGTGTATGTACATATACATTTTTTGGCTGTGTACACAAACATTTATTTCAGTGCAACCTAACCCTGACTTTTATAACATTTTTGTGTGTACACATACACTGAAAGAAAATTAGTGTTTGTATACGTACAATATTTATCTATGATGAAATTTTATAAAATGTTACTAATCTTTCGGTTTCATCTTTCATTACAAACAATATACTACGTATATCATTATTCAGCATGACACATGAAATATTTATATACCACATAGAGAATATCCATTGGGTCTATTTTTTGGTGACTTTTCGGCGACTTTCCGATTATTCTCAAACATCAATTTTTCAGTGCATTGACAAAGCAAATGTGAAGATGATGATGGAAGAAGAGTGTGAAGATGGAGTATGAATACAATGTAAAAAGATAGAAAAAGAGAAAAGAGAAGGAGGGGGGGGGGGGGGGGGGTAGAAAAGAAAAGAAGAAGAAGAGGAGAAGGGAGGGAGGAAGGAATAAGGAGGGCGGGGAGGGGTAAATAAATAGGGTGTAATCCAGGTGTAATTGAAGTGACTATGAGTGCATGTTTTAGTCTATGATTTAAAATTTGAGCATAGAGATTACAGTGGGAGATATCAAGGATGATTAGTATATAATCATACCCACTCCATTGAGTAATTTTCTCTTCCCTGTAATCACTTGATTACCCAACGGGTAACTTTTTATATAATCATAAAAACTTTTATACACTCTATTTATTTTCCTTTTACACACACACAAAAATATAAATACAGACACTTCAATTAAACGTGTCTGTGTGAACAGAATTTCATGTTCAGATTAATTGACGTACTTTTTTTGTACATTTGTCAGTTTGGTTACACGGAAACCAATGCCAATGTACATAGACAAAAAATGTATGGATACAGACATTTTTTACCTGTACAGACAACTATCAGAGTTAAGTTGTATGTGTACACAAACAAAAAAATACACACATACAACTAATGTTTGTGTACACAGACATTGCATTTGCGTGTAAATCACATTGACTGTGTACTTTTTCACAGAAATTTTAGGGTGGTTGCACGAGAACCAATATCTGTGTACACAAACATTAGTTGTTACTTGTCTGTATAGACAAAAAAGTGTGTGTGCATATACAATTTTAATCTATATACACTGACATTTGTTTCAGTGTACCCTAACCCTAACTTTTTATAACGTTTTTGTCTGTGTACACATACACTGAAAGAGTGGTTCGGTGTTTCTATACGTACATTTCATTTTTGACGACTTCAACTTCGTTTATTTTCCAACGACACTTCCGATGACTATAACTCCAACGATAATGATGATAGATGAGGTAAAGATGACACAATATGACATGATGAAGATGAAAAATAATGAAAAAGGGAAATGAATAGGATGGAAATGGTGGAGATGAAATGTGTTAGATATGTAGATGGTGAGGATGGGATAATGAAGATGGAAAAAAGAAAAAGAGAAAAGTGAGAGGGGGAGAGAGGGCCGTATAAATGGGGCAGGAGAGGAAATGAATAGAAAAAAGAAAAGGAGGGAGAAGGGCAAATAATACTTTACCATTTTTGAGTTTATACACTTCTTTATAATACCCTTCAAAAAATGTTCACGATCAACTTCGAGTGGCCGCATCCAATCTATTTATGCATTAGGAAGTATATTTCCTAGTCTTAGTATGTTTTTAATCTCTCATTCAAATGTTCTCGTCCACTATTCATATGGTTAACTTAAATCATTTTTAATCATTTGTTTTATATATTAAATTTTTATCAAATTTAGATTTTCTTGGCCAAACTTTGTAAAAAATTTAACGTAGTTTTCAAATATATGAATTTTATTTACTAAAAATAATCAGAGTGTGAACAGAGATCATTATTTTATGGTCAGTCAAGCATCATAAAGCGGAACGAGAACCTTTCTATGGAATAGAGGGAGTAATAAGTACGAGGAATCAGGAATACATCATGTTTATATTTAAATCTTTCCAGAAAAAAAATACATTTCTCAAATAGGGTCACCACTGTTATTTTTAAATGCACGAATGAAGTAATCTTAAATTAAAATAAGAAGTTTCGACTACTTTTACTAGGACGGACTACATGTCTCTTTAAAGATAGGAGTACTGATCATATTTTTTTACTTCATCAACTTTGACTTGTATTTAATGTGCACCAAATTATTTATATTGATGAAGTAAAAGTCCATAATACGAGTAAAACATGGACCAATTTCTGAAATTGAATTTACTTTTTCTTTAAAAAGGAGGAAAGAAACATTTAATTTTTTCTTTGAGGAAGGAATGTGTCCTAGTGTTGAAAAGAAGACGGTTTACTAACAGAGATATTTTCCAGATTTCTAGAAAACTAAAATAATGAAAATAGGTAATGTGTTTACTGAAAAGTTTGCTGCAAAACTGGAGAAAGGAAAAAGGCAAATGCGTTTATCAAATCATTTTCCAAAACAAAAAAAAAATAGGTATATATGTCTATGTTATTCTTAATGAATTAGAGAAGTGAGTTTTACTAGTTTTACCTTTTTATTTGAAGTTTTACTACTTTTCCAAATTCGAAATATGTGGATGCTACATTGATGCTGCAACGAATTTGCACACTTACGCTTGGTGGTGCACCCGATTCTGCTCCAGTCTTGGTACCGGTCTGGCCGGTCGATGACAGGGCGGTCCCAGTCCAGTTGATGACCGGGCGGTCTCTGTTCGGTCTGATCAATGACTGGGCAGTCCAGATCTTGTCAACGATCCGACAGTCCCTTTCGTTCCAGTCGACGACCCGGTGGTCTGGTCCCCATATTTTAAAATCATTTTTTTTCAAAGTGAAAAGAATTAAAAGAACCATTGGGCTACCAACCAATAGGGAAAAGAAAATGTATTAGTCAAACTAACCGTTGGGATCGGCCGGGGCCAACCGGTTTCAGTCTCAATTTTCTTATACTCGGGACCAGGTACCCTATTTGGATTGTACTAGGTCTGGTTCTTGATCGAGACCGTACTTCTGATCTCCCTCCCAGTCTCAGAAGCGGATGATTTTTTTTAATGAACATGTTTTCATATTTGAAAATGGAAAACTGGAAAATGAAAACAGAAAATCGGAGACAAAAAACGGATATTTAAAATAAAAAATTGGAGAACGGAAAACAAAAAAGAAAATTGGAAAATGTCTCTGTAAGTAAACGAGCCCTCACGGTTCCTTTTAAGATTATTTGTTACTAGTATGTGTACCCGTGCACTGCACGACAAAAAAAAGTGGTTAAATTTTTTATTAAAATTGTAGGGGAAATGAATTGTATGTGAATTCGTGAATGAGAGTCTAAAAGAAAATTCAATCGACTATGAAGAGAGTTGTGAAAATGAGTCGAAGTCCACAGGGCTAGCCCATTTCATCCCATTTCACGGGGGGTTAGAGTTGTCATTCTTTAACCCGATGAA